TATCCATCCGTACAAACACTACAGGTGCACTGAAGTGTTCAGCTCTGTACCCCATTTTGAAAGCTGGGGAGGTTAGAGGCAAATGCAGCTGAGGAATGCGGGTTTGATCAGCTTTTCACTTTCTAGATCTTCTCTCTCTAGTCAGTGCCTGCAGATGTTCTTTAATGTAACTCTGCCCTGTTGGAGACAAAGTGTTTGGTGGTGAAAACAGAGCAGTTGTAAAACGGAAAAAGAGAGGAGTTGATGGCTCCAGGTTTGGTTTTTGATTTTGTTGTTAAGTGCTGTCGAGTTGGTCCTGTGTAGGGTTTCCAAGGAGTGGCTGGTGAGTTTGAACCGCTGACCTTGTGGCTCAAACCGACTTTTGGTCAAATGCTTATTCTACAGCACCACATCAGGACACCTCTGATTTGGTAGGAAATAGGAATTCTTTCATGAGATAATTTTTGATGGATTTTTCTTTTCTTTAAACAGTAATGAAGATTTGAGGGTTAAGTAGCTCTGGCTGCTTAGCTTCCCCCCCCCCCCCCCTTTCTTTAATGTGTAATTCATTTCAAAAGTGCTCAGTGTTAGGTTGCTGGTCTTTGGACTTTTCCCTAATACTTATAATTTAAGCTGTCATTTGAGTAATTTTGGTTTCGTTTTTGAATTTTGGTTTGGTTTGCTTAATCTTCAACAAAGCTTCCTATAAAACCCAGGCATTTTGGTTATTAACTATAGGTATAATTTCAGTGGAACTAAGTTTCCCTCTTAAAAATTGGAGTTCATTCTGTGTATCAGAATATGTTCAGTCTCTGCATTTAGGATTTAGCACGAGTGTTCTGCTCTGTCACAGTAATACTTGGTAATGAGCCTGAGGCAGATGGAATAGCAGCTTAGACATTCCTTCTTTATCACTAGTTTTATCCACACTGGATAAGCTTTTTATGTTGCTGTGTTGCCTGATTAGAGTCCATTAAGTCCTCACCTTGTCTTTCAGAAAACCTCAGTGGAATCCTTTTGGCTGGTGAAACGTTTTGTCTCTCAAACTAGCCTTCCTCCTACCTGCTTTTTTTTATTTGACATTACTTCATCTTGCTGATAACATGCCAAACTATTGTCAGTTGACATACATTTTTTTCTTCTGCTATCTCAGTTGGCCATGGGAATGCCTAATTGACTCAGGCAGTGGAAATAATATACTTTATTCCCTGATCCCCACTGTAAATATAGATTGGGGCTTGAGTTGTAGGGACAAAGTTTTGTAAGCACACTTACAAGTTTATTTGTTTTTTGTTTGGAACAAAATAAAGCCACCTGAGCCCCTTCTGAATAAACTAACTGGCCTTCATTTCAGTCTGAAATTACTTTGTTCATTATGTATGTGAGAACAGATTCTAGAGGAAAAAAGTATTTTTTCAGTTTATCCTAGATAAACAAACAATTATCCAATTTCATCTGATGGTGAAACTTGTTTGACCTAAGCCACAGTGGCAGGAAGTTAGACTTTATGTAATATATCTGATCTAGTAAGTAGGTTTGATGTCTCTGCAACGGGAAAGAAGAAGCAAGCATATTCATGTAAGTGACCAGAGGATGATTTATGCTGTGAAGTAATCCCAACCTCACTTTACTCTGTGCTCCAGTGAAATGAAGCTTTATGGCCTTGGAGGACTTTTTCCATTTAAAGAAGGTTGCAGTTGGGAAATTGAGAAGTGGGGAGGTGTTTGTGTGTGGGGGGGGTGTGGTAGGGATGGGGGTGGTTTGAGGAAGGGTTGTTATTTCCACCACCTGGCTACTGTAATTAGAACCTGTTTAGTATTTGTTCTCTAAAGGATGGGCTATACTATATCTTCAAAGAGAAGACCTACTGTGCCCAAATTACAATTAATGTCATTTTCCTACTGAAGCAAGTTCTGCTAGTTTAGTTTTGTTTTCTCTTTCTTATGTTTCAGTAGGTGAATTTAAAAATTTTTAGGACCCAGTCGTTGTTAGGATGTCAGAGCTGGAAAGACTGATTCTTTAACTTGTCTTCTTATTAAACAGATGTGTACCACCAGGGGTTGAGAAATAATAGAGGCCAAGGGGAAAGATGAGGGAATTATAAGAATATTTCCAAGAATTATTTGATTTCAGAGTTTAAAACATTCATTGTTCAGACATGAACCTGCACTAATGATTCCTAGCTTCCTAGGGGTGTGATAAGTCCAATGTTGCTAGGCTCTAGTGACAGTGAAAAGCCATCAGTGGACTGAGCAGCCTTGTTACTAGTATTAGACTACCTTTATTTACTTATTTGATGCTTACTGTTCTGTAAGGTTAATGTGGTAGACTTGTTGTTTCAAGTGAGCTTTTGCTGAAATCCTTTGCTGTTTTTAACTGATTCTTATCCAGCTATCTTTAGTTTGATTCTTCTTTTTTTTGATGGGGGTTAGGAGCTGGAACGAGTGTTTTTCTGAATTCCCTGGAAGTTTTAAGCTTTAGAAGTTCAGCAATTATTAATCTTACTGCTACCTTTTTTAAGAAGTAAGTTATTGTGTGGACTGGTTTCTCCCTGTGACCTATCTTTTGGACTTTAAAATGTCTTACTAGTGTGGTGGTGGGTGGGGGCAAAATCAACCCACCACTCTACAGTTGATGTTCCAAGCCCAGTTTTTCTTTTGGCCCAAAGCCATGTGCATTCTCCCTGCCAGCTATTTTGGCACTGTCATGAATTCAGAAATGAATGATTCTACTCACTGAGTGTAGAAAATTTTGTTCCTTTTCAATTTTAGAAAAGCTTTTATATTGTTTCTGGGTACTCTTGCCCTCTAGTTTATTAATGCTCCTACCACACTTAAACGCTATTTTAGAAACATGCCACACACAGTAGAGGGATTTAATTGAACTCTGAAAATCCATCAGTAATATGTGACTCTAGCCATTTACAGTAGAAATAGTGCTTCTGAAGGTTGTTGCTTTGGCTAACAATTAGCTTACATAAAACAGTACAAAAATTGATGCTATTGCTGCTTCTACCCGTAACTGTCAAATAGAATAAATCAGAACCAACCTGGATCATCTTCTGTTACTGTACAAGTATTGGGAGAGTGAATAGACCCTGGGGAGTCCCCCAAATACCCTGCGTTCCAAGGGGCAACCATATTTAATTGCTTATACAGAATATTGTTGTTTAGGGAAATACTTTATAACCTTCTCTTAATCCTTGTCGCTTTCTCCCACCCCGCAGTGGGGGTAGGAAGGAAGAGGAAGCAATAAGTGTGTGTTACTTGATAGTAAAATTTGGGAAACCTGCTAGACGTTCCCTGACCCTGCCAGTTAGGTGGCTCTTCATAGAGAGATCGACTTTTCCACTTAGTTCCTGTGAAATGACAGATCTGAACAAAATGATCTTAGAGCTTCCTTACAGATCTAAATTCTGTGACTTGTAAGAAAGAAAGGAAATTATTGGAGGCGTTTATAAAGTGTTGATGAGCTTAGATTCTGGGGCCAGGCTGCCTGGGCTACATCATTTAGTAATTGTGTGTGACCTTGTACAAGTTACTTAACTTCTCATTTTTAAAAAATCTGTAAAATGGAAATAATGCTTTACTGCTTAGAATCCAAGGACATCTTTATTTATGTACCACTAAAACAGTATGACACCGTAGGATTGTGAACCACAAAGTCTTCAGTTCAAACCCACCAACTAGTCTCATAAACACCATACGGGGTCACTGGGACTCAGTGTCACACAACAGCAACAAGAAAAGTCAAAACACATACCATTGTTTGTAAGAGTCATCTTAATTTCAGAGGTTAAAATGTGAAAAAAGTGTGCATCTTAGAATTAAGGATATACAATAAGATCTACTTCCATATGACAAGCACTGGACTGCGAAGCACAGGATTGGTGGTTTAAGCACACTGGTCACTCACTCCCAGGGAGACAAATAAGAATTTCTGCTTCTGCAGATTTAAAGTTTCAGAAACCCTATGCAGTATTTCTGTGAGTCCAGATTGACTCATGTCACTTAAACTAGGACAACAGCATCTACTTATAGGCTTGTTATAAGGATTAAATGACATCATTTGTAAAGACTTTAGAACTGTGTGTTGTACGTATTAAGCACTAGGTAAGTGTCACCAATTGTTATTGATACTCGTTTTACCTGGTATTATTATCATTCCCTTCTAAGCCCATTTCTGTAGGGACTTCAAAATGTTTGTGGAAACAAACGGAATTAAAAGATCATGGATTTTCATGAACTCCTCCTTTGTATTTATTAATTTTAGTCACAATTTGAAAATTGCCCATGTAACCATCATGCCCTGTGAAGTCCTGGTGTGGCGCTGTAGGATAAGCACTCAATTGCAAGTTCAGATTGAACCACAAGGTCCTTGGAAACCTTATACAGGGTTGCTATGGGGCAGAACCAACTCAACACTTAATATCAACGACACCATCATGCCCTGGTGGTGCAGTGTTAACCAGAAGGTTTGTGGTTCAAATCTGTTAGCCTCTCCACAGGAGAAAGATGTGGCAGTCTGCTCCCATAAAGGTTTACAGCCTTAGAGACCCTAATGGTACAGTTCTAATATGTCACTATGAGTTCAGTGAATGGAATTAACAACAGGGTTTGGTATACCACCTTGCCAAATAGTTTCGTTTTTCCCCAACAAAATCATAGAAACTTTTAATAAACAAAATTGTTTATTGACATATTCTCCATCTAGATCTATACACACTTTTTCCTCTTGCTCTCTCTCTCTTTTTTTTTTTTTTACATTTTAAGGAAACTTTTTATTGCCGAGTGAAGGTTTCCAGAGTAGATCATCAGTTTTATAGTCAACAAGTCATATACTTCATTTCATTTCAGTGATTGCAGTCCCTTCCACATAACATCATTAATCCCACTTCCTCCCTGTGATTGTTTCTATTCCACCTCCTTTCCAGACCCTCCTGAACTTTGTCCTTAGGTAGATGCTGCCCTTTTTATTTTAATGGTTGAGCACTTCATGTGTACCTCACTAGTGCTGATGTCCCTCCTGTATATCTATCTGTTGCTTGCCTGAAAATTGTGCCAGGCTGGTGAATTCCATTCCAGACCTGTAGGGTGACCAAGGGCTATATAGTCTTGGGTTCCTCTAGTCTCTTTCTGCCCACTAACCCTGGTCTTTTTTGTAATTTTGAATTTTGTTCCACATTTTCTCCCAGTTAATCTAGGACCATCCAATGTGATCTCTTTCAAAAGAGTTGGTACTAGTAATTGGACACTTTCTAGTTCTTCTGGTCTCAGGGTGGTAAAGACTGGTATTTACATGTCTCATTAGTCCTTTGGACTATTTGAGTCTGTGTGTCTTCAGTTTTCATCACGATTCTTTCCTCTACACACAGAGAGACCGATAGTTGTATCTTAGATGTGGGTCTATGCACTTCTGAAGGTGGTGTTTCCTTCTCTCTATTCTTTCTTCCAAAGAATTCGGCACTTTTCGATTTGCACATCAGAATGGCAGTATTGGCATCCTCAACAGTGTCAGCTCAAGTTCCTTTTCAGTGTGTTTTGAGTATGGGGAACAAAAAGATAGGTTTATGCATATGTGTACGAATTTATGTTTTACTTCTTGAGAGACCATGTAATATGCTGCAGAACTACATTGTTGCAATTCAAATCCTAGTTTTGTCACTTAGTTCAGTTATGTGATTTTGGAGAAATTATTTAATCTCTCATTGCCTCAGCTTCCTTCTCTGTAAATACAAGTAATAATTATATCTGACCTGTGTTTCATATATACATAAAGCGTTAGTTTATGGGATTACCTTAGTCTTTTCTTGAAGGTTCCTTAGGGTTTTGTTTATCACTTGGCACATTAATGGAACTGAATATTTGCAAAAGTGCACAAAAGAGTTCAGAGTTTTCAAATAATGATAAATACAATTCTAGTTAGGAATCTTGATGTGGCTCTGCGGGATGGTGCACTGGACCACAAGGTTGGTTTGAACTTCATGGTTGGTGGTTCAGACTTACCAGCTGCTCCTCAGAAACCCTATACAGTTGAGTTGAAGTTGACTCAATGACTCAGAAACCCTATACACTATGAGTTGAAGTTGACTCAATGGTACTTAACAACAACAGTACTAGTTATGAGCATAGCTAACACTACTATAGGGCTTACTATATGCCAGGCATTATTCTAAGGACTTTAGTTTACGTATTTGTTTAAATTTACAACAACCCTGAGGGATGTTGTTGCGTGCTATCCCATCGAGTCTCTTCTCACTCAGCAATCCCGTATAGGGTTTCGGAGGAGCAGCTAGTGGACTTGAACCACAGACCCTGCTGTTAGCAGTCACGCTAGGAGCCATTATTTTCTCTGTTTTCGAGATAAGCTATCTGAGACCTGGAGAGATGAGCTTGCGTATAGCAGTGATGTCAGTGATGTGGGTAGGATGATTTAGACCCGGACAGCCTCATTCTAGAGTGTGCTGTCAGCAACCACTTGTCTTCAGAAGGCATTTCTACCACAGAGGCATATTTATTAACCAGCCTCTTTAATTTATTTTCATAGTTAAAGAGGTGTTATGAATTTTATCCAGAGTATGTGACCCTTTATCCGTAATTCCAAAGTTTAGAAAACTTTCAAAGCTTGAGTCTTTTCCTAAGTTTTGTATACATTTATTTACTGGCAAGAATGGACTTCAACCAATATGATAATGTTGTTAAGTGCTGTCGAGTCGGTTCCGATTCATAGCAATCCTGTATAGGATTTCCAACTAGGTTTGAACTGATGACCTTGTAGTTCACAGTCCAGTGCTGATCGTACAGTGCCACACCGGGAGTCCCCTTAAATATAAGGCTGTTGAAAGTCTTTACCAATGTGTTTGGTTATATAATCCCAAATTCCACTGGGATTATATGCAATATACAGTTTATATACTATATTATCTTTCTGAAATTAAAAGTATTCAGAATTCCAAATGCATCTGGCCCAAAGAATTTTAGATGACAGATTATGTACCAGAGATTATTTTTTGCTTCATTAAATAAATGCATTTTAGTTATTGTTGGTAATTGCTGTAAAGTTAGTTATGGCTTTGAGCAACCCTGTATGGAATTTCTGAGGAGAGGCTGGTGAATTTAAACTTTTGACCTTGTGGTTCAAATGGACCTTGCAGTACAGTACCCCACAGTGCCACATCGGGACTCCAAATACACCTTTGTTGTTGTTGTTGTTAAGTGCCGTCAAGTCAGTTCCGACCCATAGTGACCCTGTATAGGGTGTCCGAGGAGCAGCTGGTGAGCTTGAACTGCCAACCTTGCGGTTCAAACGGCTTTGCAATCTGGCACATTTACCCACGGCACCATACCAGGACTTCTTTAGCTGGTACTAAAACAGGTCTTGGTCAACATAATTTCCTAAAATGTTTATTTTTTTATATCATATTTTTTTTCATTTGTGTTAGAGCTCCTGAAATTATTCTTGGATTGCCATTTTGTGAAGCTATTGATATGTGGTCACTGGGCTGTGTGATAGCCGAGCTGTTCCTGGGATGGCCTCTTTACCCTGGTGCTTCAGAATATGATCAGGTAAGAGTGCTTGCTTGGGTGGAACTAGAGAACAAATAGCTACTAGTGAAGGAGATTCTAGAGGAAGAGAAGTACTAAGGAAGTAGGTCGATACCAAGAGATGAATAATTCAATTACAGAGAATTGTTTATAGAATAATAGAATTTTTTCTGTCTCCTTCTTGATTTGAAGTTGTGTTTATAATTCTACAAAAGGAAAAAAAATTTTTTTACCCCTGATGGTACTTTTCCAGCTTTGGAATGATTAACTAGAGACATCACTTTTATTAATTAAAGTATCTTTTGAGATAAGAAATGAAAGAAAAGTAAGAAGAATTGAATTTTAAGAATGAGTGGGCAGTAGTCGGCTCTTGAATCGACTTAATGGCAACCATTTTGGTTTTATATGTGAAACACACACAGTCAAACTGAAACACACTAGGTCCCAGAAACTGATGTGTATGGAGTCCCTGTAAAGTAGGATTTAGAAGGGAAATCTGCGATATAAAATATTTTCATAAAGGATTCACACACACATCTCAAAAGAGGCAAGCTTTAGGAGGAGATATGCCCTAGTTTCCTAAGTAGTTGAATAATTTAAAGGAAAAAGTAGCCATGTTTTTCCTTACACCTTGATCAATTGTACTGTGGAGTAGATGTAGCATTTGTCAATTTAAAATTTGACTATTTGGGTTTAATTTTCAATGAAAAAAAGATAGGACTACTTTGTGATAAAATACAGGTTTTAAAAGATGTTTCTTTCTACTATATAAAAATCAAGATAACTGCCTTATTTTACCAAAAGAAAGGAAATGATGGGGATTAAAAAAAAAGTGAGGGAGATTAAATCATTCAAAACTCAGTTTTAGTTAACCAAAACTGTTGATTCTTTCATACTCCTTTTTTCAGTCCTTTTTGACTCTTAGACCCTTTTGAGACAATGCTGAACAATACACACAAACACACACACAATGTTTCATGTACTATATTAGGGGATTCATAAACCCTCAATATTATTCTTAATATTTGTTTGCTTTTGCAATTCTTCCCACCAAGGAGAGCAACATAAGAGGCAATTTTTCTGCCACCTGCTCCTTAATGTGGCACTATAGTCCTGTTACGGTGCTGTAGGATCAGCACTGGACTGCCACTCACAAAGTCAGCAGTTCAAACCCACCAGCAGCTCCTTGGAAACCCTACAAAGAGTTGCTATATGTTGGAACCAACTCAGTGGCACTTGACAACAGTAACACTCTACATTCTTAAACAGTGTTGAGGACCCCACAGAACACCACTACTGTGGTTTATATCTACCAATATATACTAGGCACTAGAATGAAAACAATTCAGCAGGGTGTGTGAGAAGTAAAGATTTATTTACTTTCTTACAAATTCCCTTTTTTCTCTATAATTTTATCTTAAGTAGAGCAATTCATAGTATGGAGGGGTTGTTGGTGTTAAGTGCCACTGAGTTGGTTCTGACTCATAACGACCTGTATAGGATTTCTGAGGAGCTGTTGGTGGGTATAAACTACTGACCTTGTGGTTAGCAGTCCAGTGCTATCCTACAGTACCACACCAGGACTCCATTGCCACACCAGGGAACGGGTAGCAGAAAAATGACCTATTACATTGTTCTCCTTGATAATTGCAAAAGCAAACAAGTGTGAACAATAAAACTGAGATGAAATAAAAACTCAAGACTACAGGAGCACACATCTCATCAGCATTAGAGCAATGTAACCAATTAATGTTTCTCTTTTAATAACACATCATCTCTAAATAAGAAGCAAAGATAATGAAAAGAAAAATAAGGTGTAAAGGAAAGCTGAAACCCTTCTGCCACTGAAAATTTTGCACTGCAAACTAGCAGGAGGTTCCCTAAGGTCTTACCTAAAAGCGGCAGTGATGAAGTCTTACTGCTGTTTGTTGTTGAATGGTATCATCTTCTGACCCCTATTACACATCTGTGAGAAGGAAGTGAAAAGGACAAATAACTTGTTAGTATTATTATGAAAATAGTTTTGACTTCATTTGTTGTTGTTAAGTGCCGTTGAGTTGATTCTGACCCATAGCAACCCTGTATTGGGTTTCCAAGAAGCAGCTGGTGAGCTTGAACTACCGACCTTGCAGTTCAAACGACTTTACAGTTTGATGCATTAGCCCACAGCGCCACATCAGGACGCCATAGACCCCCTGAAAGTGTCATGGAGATCCTCCAGTGGTCCAAACCACATTTTGAAAACTGCCGACCTGCTACATAGTAGGTGTTCATTGACTGAATGCATGAACATGGCACCATCCCTCTACTGATATGAGATAGGGAAGCATGACAGCTTAATTGTTAAAATTTACGGTATGAGAGAGAAGTTCTGTAGCAATTTTGTTGTTATGTGCTGTGGAGTCGGTTCTAACTCATAGCGACCCTGCACAGGGTTTCTAAAGCTGTAAATCTTTACGGGAGCAGAAAGCCTCATCTTTCTTCCGTGGAACAGCTGGTAGTTTCAAACTGCTGACCCTGAGGATAGCAGCCCAATTGTAACCACGATGCTTTCAGAGCTCCTTCTGTAGCAATTTAGAAAAGGTCAAATTAACAAGAGTTAGAGGAAAATATATTCTTAATCTTACATGATTGAAAAAATAGAGCATATAAGGAAAATATCTTTTAAGGCATACAAACCTTTTTTTTATTTCTTGAAATGGTTCTATCTTAGAAATCTTGAATTTTTGAACTTTGTATCAAGAGTCTAACAAAACAAAAAAGATTGCAAGCAGAATTTTCAAAACAGGTTTCCCTGTCAATAGCAGATGTTATAAGTAGGAAACTACTGCACAGATAGTTGAGAATTGCTTCTGAGTGAATGAGTATGTGAGGGGGATTTAGAAAGTATGTGGGCAAGTTTAATTATCTTTCAATTCTGCTTTTTCCCATGAACTTTTTGAAGCCCCCTCTTATATATGTATTTACAGAAAAATTTTAGTTGTTTTGATTAAACAGTTCATTTCCTTATGATACTTTTCTCCCTTGGCTAGAGATATTAATGTTTTAATGTAAAAATCCTTAATGATTTCTCTGTTCACTCTAAAATGATGTGTTTTGTTGTTTCAGATTCGTTACATTTCACAAACACAAGGCCTGCCAGCGGAGTATCTTCTCAGTGCAGGGACAAAAACAACCAGGTTTTTCAACAGAGATCCTAATTTGGGGTACCCACTGTGGAGACTAAAGGTAGGTCTTCCCAAATGTATGGCTCATCTCTGCACTTTCCCCCATACTTTTATTTAAATTTGTTTATTTATTTTTTAACGAGAGTGAGGCTTTATTGTTATTCAATTTTGCAAAATCAGGCACCAAACCCAGAAGACAAGACGGGCAGATACACCACATGGCTGTTTTATAAACATTGTTATTTTCTAACCCAGAAGTCCCTCCCTATTCCTCATTGACTGAGTACTATGGGGTGAACAATCTTACCAGCGTCACCTATTTCTTTCTTTCTTTTTTTTTTTTTTAATGTTTTATTGTGAATTATATGATAGTTTACATGGGAGCATATTAGTTTTACATTCATCCTATCATATATTGTTTCATTGCCATGGTTACAATCACCTCCATACATAATCAACCAACCAAAGGGTATACACTACAAGCCTGCCCCCCTGTTGTCAGCACACAGCCCCTCTCCTTCTCTGTGTCTAAAGTCCCCAGTTGCTCCATTTCTCCACGTCATCGTCTCTGCCTCCATCTCAGGCATCACTGCTTCTCTGGGTAGGGTCCTACTCTCCGCTATTCTCTCTTGATGGTCCCAGGGACCTCCGCTTCTAGACTAAAAAGTTAATCACTCCCCTCCTTACTACAAAACGTCTACCTTTACATTTTCAACCCTCACAAGCAGTCCTGATAACAATTATTCACTATTTTATCACAAGAGACCCATCCGCATTTCATTTCATCAACCCCGCCTAGACAGATTGGATACTACTCAGTGGAGATTCTACCTTCCTTCACGCCCTCTGGATCTGGATTCCCTCTTGAAAGCTTGTAAGCCAGTCACTTCTTGCCTTTGTAGGCCCCCCATTTTGGGTAGCCAATGTCCAAATTGCCCATCCTTGTCTATTCTGTGTATGGAGGGGAATGATCCTTGCTGTGAAGATTTGTTCCCTCTTTTGATCTACTGCCTCTATAGGTGTAGGTCAGGTTCACCAAATTGTATCAGATTACTCTTTTTTTCCTCTTCTTTCTTCTTCTGGTTGAGCTCTGATCATCCAGTCATTGAAGCCAGGTCAAGTGGGTGTTGTCTGCAAGTGTGGGTATTCTTGTGCATGCCCTCTCTTCTTATCAGCTGGATGCTTCACTCTCCACTCTAGTCCTTTGTGGTTATGTCACTGACTCTGTGCCCAAGAGTCCCCAGGTCTTGCCACACTGCTGGCCAAGCAGGTCTCCACCCGGGTTCACAGGAATCTATTGAACGTTGTAGGGCTTAGCTTGCAGCTTCATTGCAGTTTTCCCCTCACTTCCCCTTATCGGTGACGAGCGTGGTCACCAATCAGATCCCCTATACTTTTGAATTTGAAGTTTAGTTATTAAATTTTTGAGGTGAGGAGGGAGAAAAGAGGAGGAAAGGATGTTTGTGGGAGAGAATATTTTGAAAAGTATTTCATTGTACCCATTTAGCCTTAACCTTAGTTAAAAAACAAAACATTAAGTGCTGGTTCACTTGGCTGCAGTTTTTTTTTTTTTTCCTTCTGTATTTTGATCAGCAGCTGAGAGGGGTGTAGAGAGTAGTGCTTACTAACATTGTTGTTGTTGTTGTGTGCCATCGAGTCGGTTCCGACCCATAGCGACCCTGTACAGGGTTTCCGAGGGTGTAAATCTTTACGGGAGTAGAAAGCCTCATCTTTCTCCCGTGGAGCAACTCGTAGTTTCGAACCGCTGACCTTAAGGTTCGCAGCCCGATTTGTAACCACTACGCTACTAACATTAAGTATTATTTAAAAATTAGAGTAATTTAGTAATGACTGTTTTTAAGAGAATTACCAATAAACATGTTAAAACTCAACATATTTTTCTAACTTCCCACATAATGCCTTGTTTTCTTGAAATCAATATATACTTTTTATTTCTGCTCCTGCCCCTTTAACTTGAAAAGGCTGAGTAATTTGATAATCCTGTGGCTCTCTGTCTTCTGAGCTTGTTGAACAGTTAGCATTTGAAATATCAGTTCATTTGAAAGTAGCTTTAAGTTAAACAATAGTAATGTTACTCCTTACCTGGCATTCTTCAGGGCTCGTGGTCTATTATTGTGTTGTGTGTTTGTTTATGAAAGGCGGGCACATTATCAAGGTCACATCTCTCCATTGGAGGGCTTTCTGGTTGTAAATGACTTTTATGTTGACTATCTGTGGTTGACAAGTGACGACTCTTGTTTCTTTGTATTCTGACTGTAATTTAGAACAAAATGTGAAAATACTATAGAGATATAATTTTTTTTTTTGTCTTATTTTATAGACACCTGAAGAACATGAATTGGAGACTGGAATAAAATCTAAAGAAGCTCGGAAGTACATTTTTAACTGTTTAGATGACATGGCTCAGGTGAGCATGGAAAGTTTTTGAAATCAAGACATCTATGTGTCTTCGATCAGAGACATACCTTGCTGGCTGTGTTGTTGTTAAGTGCCTTCGAGTCAGTTCCGACCCATAGTGACCCTGTATAGAGTGATTGGTGAGCTTGAACCACCAACCTTGTAATTCAGACTGACTTTGCAGTTCCACTTATGACAAATTCAGTCTGTTGTCTTTCTAGTGTTCCTTCCCAATTTTTTTGTTTGTTTTCCCGATGATGGGGTTTATTAGCGAAGTAACTGATAAAACTTAATATAAAAGTATGAAGCATCAGCTAGCCCGCCCATAGCATTCTCTACTTCTTTATTGAGCTTGATCATCCATTGCAATGGCCACATGGGACTCAGACACCACACTCACAGCTATGGGATTTCTTAGATATGTTAACAGATTACAATTCAGTGTCAGAGATACTCAGGGCATAGTTTTTCTAGTCATCTGCTGTTGTTATGCCCAGAATTCGGAGTCCCCCAAAGACCACCAAGGAGCCGACACCGATGCAAGTGCACAAGGGTCGTTTATTCAAGTTCGAGCTCGGACTCTACCTGCATTCGACACAGCGGATCAGGGATAGAGCCCCGAACCCTTTGTCTGCAGGGTTTTTATAGAGTTTTCAAACAAGCTCGGGTTTCTCAGCTTTACAATTTTTGGACTGGTTAACAATGGGCAAACTATGAGATGTTACAGTTTAATTGGTCAGGACTGGTGGTCTTTGTTCTTAGGCTAGGGCAAAGGAAAACATCTGGCATCTGGCCTTGAGCTGCCTGGCTATTTATACATATATCATTTTCTTGGAGCTAGAGGACATGCCAAATCTTATATACAAAATGGATTCTTCTCTTTGGTCCTACACTGTTGAATGCTCTTAAGACATATCACCCCTCCAAATGTCTCAGCCTGAAGGCACTCGGCTCTAACTCCATGGGTCAACAAACCTAGCTCCCCCACTGAAGTGCCTGGAGGCACTCCACTCTACAAGCAAGCTTCCTGCCCAAAGTCATTTACATTCAGCTTTACATGCTTCGTGGGCTGGGAAGTCCACTGCTCTGTCTTGTGCTCCAGTTCTTGGTGCTGCTGCTACTTCTCTGCAACCCTCTGGTGTCACAGCTTTCAATCCCTGAGTAAAGGAGGTTCAGTGTGTAGAGATCTTGGGGTCCAAAGGACACACTGTGCTCCTGGTTCCTGTTTGATAGCAATGTGAAACCCCTCCTGCTACTGAGATGCCTCATTTAAAACCCATGCTTGAGTTTCCAGGTTTTACAATTATATTTACCTCTAACATCCATAGCGGGATCATGTCACCCTGTCAGTGTCTTTTCCCACCTTCTCTTACCCAGACTCCGCAGGGCAGCAGTGTTGTTTAGTGGGAGTTACAGACAATGACTAGAAGAGACATAAGATAATTTACTATACCACACTTGCCCAGTTTTTTGCAGAGAGAACTGCATTAGGACCATGCCATGTATTAAGAAACATTTAAATCCTAACAAAAGATACTTTAAAACATATATTTCTCACTTGTTTTTGCTGATTCTGTTGCATATCAGTGTTTTGAAATCTTGTTTATGCAGTCTTCCTCTTTCTATTAAGTAAGTATTTACATGAGAGCTAACATTAAACACCTTCCACTTACTAGGCCATTTAATAATTTTCAACAATAGAAACTTTTATATTTAAAAGACAGTCATTTTGCTTCCAACTTTTGAATAAAATGAATGTATTCAGCTTTATTCTACCAACAAATTTAGGTGAAGGTTTTAGTTAATTACATAGCGTTAAGAAGAGCTTCCTCCTGCAGAAATGATTTTACTGTAATAAAAAGAATTCCCCCAATTTTCTCTCATGATCACTATTTAGTTTAGAAAGGAAGAAGATTATTTAGTTTCAGCATTAAAGTTTAAGTGGTGGCATATGATATGTCTCAATTTTTCTTGAAAAGGTTAACATGTCTACAGACTTAGAAGGAACAGACATGTTGGCAGAGAAGGCGGATAGAAGAGAATACATTGATCTCTTAAAAAAAATGCTAACAATTGATGCAGATAAGAGAATCAACCCTCTGAAAACTCTTAACCATCAGTTTGTGACCATGACTCACCTTCTGGATTTCCCACATAGCAATCAGTGAGTATGGGGTTGCACGGGGCAGTTTACCATGATTTAATTTTCAGTCGGGATACTTTCTTAAAGTCAGACAGAGCAGCTGTTTTAGTGCTTGTATATTGGATCACTGGTGCTTTTTCTTCTCCTGAGTATGAAACAGTGATGTGTTTTTCACCTCTTTGTGGTTATATGAAAACGAATTCATTTTATATGAGAGTACTTATGGGAAAGAAAAACTTTGATCACTGTTCATCCTGAATTATTTGCTATATGTTTAAGTCTAGCAGGTGTTTCATGACTCTTCTATCTCTTTTTCAGTGTTAAGTCTTGTTTTCAGAACATGGAGATCTGCAAGCGGAGGGTTCACATGTATGATACAGTGAGTCAGATCAAGAGTCCTTTCACTACGCATGTTGCTCCCAATACAAGCACAAATCTAACCATGAGCTTCAGCAACCAACTCAATACAGTGCACAATCAGGTACTCCGTAAATGTTTTTGGAAATTCAAGGCAAGAGGGATAGCAAAGAAACTAATCAGAGTGCAGGTTGAGGATAAAGAAACCAGCCTTGGCTTTGGTGGCTTTGCTGCTTATTAATCATTTTCTACTTGGCAAAAGTGATGGAAAGCCAGAGTAGACTGATTTATATTATTCAAACATCAGTATTAATGCCTACCATTCACTTGGTGATAAAAATAGGTACAAAGCCCTGACTATGCCTGGCTGTTGTACTTCTGACTATGGGACTGCTGCTCTACTAATTTTAGCCAAGTGGCTTCCCTTCTCCTTGTTAAGAGAAAGATTTTATGTGTCTCTTAACATAGTGTTGAGGGTGCTTCCAGTCATTAACTGTAAGAGGTGATTTTACATTTGTTTGCTAACCAGGGATATTTGCATTTAAGTTTGTTTCTGAAACTGTAAGCTTCCCAACTTCTTAGATTTTCTTTAAAGTAGGCTTATGAAGTTTGATGAGCTCTAACATGCAGGAGCTCTGGTAGCGTAGTGGTTACGAATTGGGCTGCGAACCGGAAGGTCAGCAGTTCGAAACTACCAGCTGCTCCGCGGGAGAAAGATGAGGCGATCTGCTCCCGTAAAGATTTACAGCCTCGGAAACCCTATTCAGGGTCGCTATGGGTCGAAACCGACTCGATGGCACTTAACAACAACAACAACAACAACATGCAATAGCTTTTTTCACAGAAAGAAGAGTTTGGGGGTTATATGAGGGAGCTATGAAGATTTTGTGGGAAATGGAATTAAAAGATAATGGAATTTTCCCACAAACGTTTTAAAATCCCCGCATATAAACCTCATTTAGTCTGGGGGTCATTTTCGGTTCTTTGGTTGCTTATTTGATCATATAATACTTTGTAAAGATTGGGAAATCTCGATTTCTTAATTTCAAAGACAGGTAACATATTTTTAAATTTTGTTCTAAGCTTTTCTAGATAGATTCTGTTTTATGAGAACAATATTATTTCTACCATATACCACTTATACAAGTATGATCTTTTGCTTTTAGGCCAGTGTTCTAGCTTCCAGTTCTACTGCAGCAGCTGCTACTCTTTCTCTGGCTAATTCAGACGTCTCACTGCTAAACTACCAGTCTGCTCTGTACCCGTCGTCTGCTGCCCCACCGGTTGCTGGAGTTGCCCAGCAGGGGGTTTCCTTGCAGCCTGGAACCACCCAGATTTGCACTCAGACAGATCCATTCCAACAAACATTTATAGTGTGTCCGCCTGCTTTTCAAAGTAAGTGGGGAAACTCCTATATTATACTGTATTTTATCAGACCTACCTGCTTTAGTTCTTATTTCAGGTATCTAGTTCTTTCATTGTTTTGATACATTTAAACTGAAGTGAGCTGAGAAAGTGGATTTCGACTTTTTTTTTTAATGTTTTATTGTGAATTATGTGATAGTTTACATGGGAGAACATTAGTTTTACATTCATCCTGTTGTATATTATTTCACTTCCATGGTTACAATCCCCTCCATGCACCATCAAAGAACCAAAGGTTATACCCTGCAAGCCTGCCCCCCAGTCATCAGCACACAGCCCCTCTCCCTCTCTGGATCTAAAGTCCCCAACTGCTCCATCTCTCCACGTCATCGTGGGTTTCGACTTTTGATATCAGTTACTATCAATTATAGTACTCTCTGACACAATGTTGGTAGCTCAATTAGTATTTCCTTCATTAAATTGCCTAATTTTCTTGCCCATTGAGGCCTTGTCTTACTGTCATATATCTTATTTGTTTTCAATATGCAAAACATATACATCTTGGAAAAATTGATTGTAAATAGAATTGCTATATATTGAATCTTCATTTCTTACATGATTTCATTGAAAATAAAAGTGTTCCAAATACAAGGCAATTTCATTTTGAAATGTATGTATCATACTTAAGAATGTGGAAACCCCTTAAAAGCACATTCAGAGAAATCAAGCTCATTCTACAAGCTGAAATGCTTATGCGGGGAAGGCATTAGGATTATCTGCTTCAGCTTCTGAGTCCTGTCATTCCTGCAAAACCACAGTGGAACAGAATAGCTGAGAACGGAGGCTCTGTCTCCAGCGTTGCAGTAAGATTTTGATTCACATTTCCGTCCTTCCTCATTTTTTCATTGCAGTACTGGAAGCCAGTCTGTCCAGGTCTTTTATTTATTTTTTTCTCATGAAATATGGGAAATGTATATTTCTTGATTAGTGAACATTTAAAAGGTTGGATTATTTTAAGGAGATTTCCTAACAACTCCCTTGGCTTCTGTAGTTGGAAGCGTTTAGTACTCATGGGCCACAGCCAGGCTTCACGTGGCACTTTACATAGAAGTGGGTTGCATTTTTATTTTTTTACTTGAGTTACTTACTGATTGTGACTCTTTTGTTTTTGGTTTCTGACAGAGTCGGAGCAAGCAGAAGGAAAAGAGGGGATAGGGGAGACTGAAAGATTACCGGGAGGACAGGAGAGCGATAGCGATGTAAACCAGGGAGAAACCCCAGGGAGAGCGGAGGAGCAGATTCAAAACCTGTAAATGCAAATTTAGCGTAACTTAACCAAATGATTTTTGCATATGCTTCATAATAGTAGATTCTATACTTTGGGTTATTATAAGTTGAGTTATGCTTCTACTAAACTTAGCAAACTAGCCTCTCATTCTCACTCCCACTTTTCCAAAATAAGAGTTTCATTGGGATAATTTTCAGATGTGGACTCTGAAGTTTTCTGCTTCTTCTCAGTTGCTACTTAAGAAAAAAAACTGTTGAGTTCACTTAACAAAACAAAATATTAAACTGAAGTAGGGGGAGTGGGATATCCCCTTTTGGTATAATTAGGTAAGTATGAGCTCTTGGAAAATTCCTCCTTATGTAGGAAGTGTAAATAATCTGAGACACTAAGTAACATAAAAATTTTAATTTCCAAATAAAAAAAGGAGCGTTAAAATTCAGATGCTGCTGCCACCTAATATGTATTACTCAGTGCTATTACCTCCATTAGTGACCATTATCACCTCCTGAAATTTCCCTTCCTTCATTCCTCCAGTTTGCAGGAGGTTATTTGAAGACTAACATCTTAGAGTTAGCCATGTGTCCTAGGGATATAGACAAGATTTTTTATCTTGTTTAGTTTTCATAATAGTGTGCACTAAGAAAGCATGAATAGCATTTAAGTATCTTGATATTTAGATTGATGACCCTTTTTTAAAAAATTAATAGAAGTAGCATATTTTTACAAAGTTCCTTTTCGAATGTTTCAGTTCAGGTTTTATTAGTCACTTTTATCTTGCATATTTCTTGAAGACTATATTTTACTTTATGTCTGTCTGCTTGTAAATTACTGAAATGGAAAATTAAAGATTGATTTGCTAAAGCAACAGTATTAGGGTTGATGACTTTTACTTATATGACACTTCTATAACAATATTAAGATAAATTGGTTGATGATAGTTTAGAAAATGAAGGAATTTTCTCATTAAAATGGGCCAGTCTTCACTAACAAAATTGCAACAAAATTAGTGAATGGGAGGCATAAGAAAAACAGAAAATTCTCTACATTGAAAGTTTTGATAGGTAGGTTTAGAAGAGAGCTTGGTAGTCTGTCTTCTTAACTCTTGGCAGAAGGAAGTACTATTATAGTGTACTGTGTAGGATCTCTGAGGCTGTGAATGTTTGCAGGAGCAGAAGGCTTCATCTTTCTCCTTTGGAGAGGCTGATGGGCGTGAATTGCTGGCCTTGTGGTTCGCTGTCCAGTGCTTATCCTACAGAGAAGCCATTCCTGTTTGTAGGAAACATTGATTTAATATTTGTGCTCAGAACATATAAGTGAGATAAGTGAGACCTGGTCAGTTTTTTAAAGATGGTCACAGTAGAGTGAAGCTGACATAGTAAGAGTTTCATGGAAATGTTTAAAAAAAAATCAGCTGCTATAACAGCAAAGAGTTCTTGATTTCTATAGCTGTCCATTAGCCAGAAAAGAGACAAATTAGAAATCTGTCATTTTACAAGAGCAAATTTTGAAAATAGAAAGTGTGGCCATAAAACTAAAGTGCCTATATTTTTTAAACTACTTTTGTTTTTGAAAGATTTCTTCAGTTCACATACTAGTTAAAAATAAAATGAATGACTAATTTGTGAACTGAATTACATTTGAGGAATGGGGGGAAACATCCACTTAAAACACTTTAAGCACAGGATAACTTGGAGTATAAATTAATGAGTTTCTTACATTTTTTTCTAATCTAGTTAGCCAAAAATTACAATTATATTCACAACTTTGCTTTTAATAAATTACAGTTTAAAAAAACAAACAAAAATATCCCCTAGTGTATTAAAAGGTAAATATAATTTGCTAAGAGGGGTTTTTTGGGTTTGGCTGGTTGGGTGTGTTTTTTTTTTTTTTTTTAAATAAAGAATTTAGAATTGTCTTAAACTAGCCTTCCTTGTATCATGTATCTTCTTACTACTGTAACTTGAAAGGAATCAAGTCTCATTTTTTTAACTCCCAAAACTTGTATGTACCTTTTGGCCTTAAATGTCTAAGATTAAAATCTGAATATTAGATTATGTGAGCAGAAAAGCAAAGAACAAACAACAACAACAACAAAAACTAAACCAAATAAGAACTTCAGACCTAGCAAAACAGTTGAATTGTGATATTGTTTCCAACAGCTGGGCTACAAGCAACAACAAAACATTCTGGATTCCCTGTGAGGATGGATAATGCTGTCCCCATTGTACCCCAGGCACCGGCTGCTCAGCCACTACAGATTCAGTCAGGAGTTCTTACACAGGTAAAAGCCAGAGCAACTTGGATACTCAGTATTGCTGAAGGACTGTGGAGAATCAGATATTTTGTCCTAGAGGTGGTATTTGCTTTATGGAAAGGTCTTTCTTGGTCATGATTCAGTGGACTTAAAAATGAAACACCTTCATGGGACAGTATACTCATTCCCGATACTGTCAGCATCTTCCTTAGACTTGCAGAGACGTTGAGAATTTATCTTCTGAGAAAGTGCACTCCAAATTTGAGGGATAAAGTTAATTTTTTACCTCAGAGCACTTACAGGCAGAATAGTACACAGGTGACCCATGATTCTAGAATATGAAGTTCCCAAGCTCTCGCTTACTTAGTGGCCCTGTGGCTTTACTCTTTCACAATCTAATCACAGTAGAGAGGCTGGGTCCCATCCGCATGCCTCTTCAAGTATTGCATTCCTTCATTCCTCTGTTGAACCACGCTGTCGAAGGCTTTAGAACTTTACACTTGCCATGGAACATGTGACTAAGATGATCCATAAAAATCATGATGTGTTTATATAAGCAACAAACATTTTATTTTAAATTCTGTATGTAAATGCTTGTAGACCATGACACATAGAAAACTCTGAAATCTAGAAACGGTATTTTGTGAGGAGGAGGAGGATAAGGAGGGAGGAGGGATCCTTAATAGATGCCTTTGTTAACTGACTTTTGTAGAACTGATCCTCTGAATCTGGCCCAGGTTTTTTTTTGACGTTTGACCTGGTGGGCGAATGCCATGCAGAGTTGAAGGGGAAGGTTGTGTTTGGCACATGTACTTAGGTGATATGAAATTACTGTTTACTGTCGGTAATAACTTGGGGGGAATGAGAACCCATCTGAACCCAGATAACCTGCCACCGTGTTTGTTTCACTCACCTGCCTGATCTACGTTTCAGGGAAGCTGTACACCACTAATGGTAGCAACTCTCCACCCTCAAGTAGCCACCATCACACCGCAGTATGCGGTGCCCTTTACTCTGAGCTGCGCAGCCGGCCGGCCGGCGCTGGTTGAACAGACTGCCGCTGTACTGGTAATTCCCCTCACTTGATTGTGTTACTAACGGAGTTTCTTTGGTTTCTTTTTTTATTTTTTCCTGTTCGTTTTTGTTCTGTTTTCTCATTTTTCAAAGAAAAAAAAAAAAAAAAAAAAAACCCAAAACAGTTTAACTTAGACTTTGCAGAGGGCATGGAAGCATGTGCCATCTTGTGGCTGTGTTCTTGCTACATCTTTAATGTTTCATTGTTTTCCTTCCCAACATTGGCTGAAGCACTGTTTGACTCTGATGTTCACTGTGGCTCTGTAAAGAGCCAGTTCCCTTGATTCTTCTTTGCCAGCTTAGTGTGATAAAAGCTCTTGGTGTAGCCTCAGAAGAGCTTCAACACTGCTATCTGCTTTCTGCCCTGTCTTTTACCCTCTGAGTCTTGAGAATGAAGGAAATGGCCTTTAGTTTGGCTCTGCTACAGGTACCCGGATGGCCAAAACTTGAACTCCTTGGCAAGTTAGCTTCCTTCTTTATTTTGCTCTTTTAAGCTTTTAAAACTTCTGTGCATGTAGAAATGCTTAAGATGCTCTTAATTTATAGCTTTTGTAGTTGATATTAACCTTCCTTCAGTGGTTATCATGAAGATAGCTCTTTTTGCTACTCATGATCAATGGCAGCTCCTATGCATTTAAAAATGTTCCCTTTAGAATACCTCTAGATCATATTTCATTTGTTGATTGAAATTAAAGGTGAGCTAATTTTTAGGGCTTTATAGAGAAATTACTTTACAAATAGATCTTTATGCACAGGTGAAAATATGGCCAACAAACTTTATATAAGTATGATACCTTTGTTACCCTAAGTCATGGAGAAAATGACTGACTACAATCGCAAATGTGCTAGTAGGGGCTTAGAGACAGAACAAACAAATAAGCAGGGCTTTCAGTTGTATTTTAGGATCTGTCACCTTAACAGTGATTTTTGGATGTGTTTGGTTTCTTTGGGGAGGTAGAATTGCTTATTGGAGATCCAGCATATTTGATTACTTAAAACTTCAAATTAGGTAAGCACTAAAAAACTGAATTGATATTTTTGAATCCTGATATATCTATATCTTTCAAAGTAGCCTTAAATACATCTTTTTTTGTTTCTCAAGTATTCATGTGACTGAAAACACTTCCAGAAACATACTTTGGTTGTTGGGATTTGTTCTGTTTCCAGTTTAAAGGGCTTTATCACCTCCAAAATAATTATAAAACCTGAGTGCAAGGGAGTCAGATTATTTCCCAACCTTGGCTGATCCAAGACACTTGCTCACCTATGGTTTCAAGGTTGGAAACGTCAATTGACACTTCTCCTTTGCTGCTTCTCTTAAGTTTGCATTAGCCATTTGCTAAGCTTTGCATATTTTTGTCCTTCCTCTGTCAAAACAGTTCGTCGCTTGGAACGCCAGATTTCTGCCTCACGTTGAAATGTTATTTCTTGCTCTGTATTAAACTACATGCTTTGTCTTGTGCAGGTGTTGGCTTATGGAAAGACGCATGGTGTGACTTAACATACTTCTCTTATTTTTTGTTTTGTTTTGTTTTGTTTTAAATTCTGCATTTGGTAGCAGACGTGTTTGCAGTTTCTCTGCTTTGAAGGCTTCTTGTTTGGAACCAGTATTTGTAACAAGTGGATCTGTTACTTGCAGAAATATTTTTAAACAGTGTGTGTTGATGGTTTTTCAGTTCAAAGTCCAAGAAACAGAACCATATGTACCCAAGCATTGTAGGTGATTGTACTGCAGAAATTCACGTTTAAAAAGCAAATTTCCAAATCTGTTCCTATTTTCTTAGAAAATACCAGAATTTCTGTGAGTAACAAGTACAGAAAACACATTTGATGCTCAGTCTATGGCAAGTGACATGGCTTGTTAAAAACTAGAAATGAGGTATTTGTGTGTAATGATTAGTTTTTATGTTCAAGTCTATTTCTATAAATGATACTTAAAATGACTGAAATATACCTTAGGTAACTAAGAAAAACAAAATATGATGTACTTTGCATCTGTTTCTTAAATATTTTACTTATTGCTGTATTTTAAAATTCTGCTGTATGGCTATAAAAGATGAGGTTAGCTTTCTCTTGCTAGCATAAGCTCGTTTGCCAAAGGACTTTGGCCTTTGGTCATCCACATCTGACTCCATTTTCCAAGTACTACCCTTTTGAAAAAGTGAACAATTCTGCCCTTTGTTTTACGGCTGAATTGACCTGATGACTTATCTGATTGGAACTCAAAATTGAGTATTCCTGATTTTAATCTCAAGGGAGTTCTCTTAACTCTTTCTAGGAATATATATTACAATCTTTGTTAAAACGATACTCCAACATTTAAACAGAGCCTACTTCTGGACTTTCAGATTCCTGTCCTCTGTGTACAATAGAAACTCTTACCATGGGGCTCTTCTTTTCTTTAATCCCCTGGTGGTCAGGTTATGGGAGGTGGCCAAGAGAAAGCAGTATATTCTCCTTCCCTATTGATAAGATTTGTAACCTTGAGCCCCTCTGACCTTTCTTTTTTAATCTCTGCAAGTTAACAATCTACATGCAACTTCTTCATTTTTCTTTCATCTAAAAAACAGAAGAAAAAGCCAAAAATGAGTCAAGTGTTGGGTCTCTGTGTGTGTTTTTTTTTTACAGCAAGCTTGGCCTGGAGGAACGCAGCAAATTCTCCTGCCTTCAACTTGGCAACAGTTGCCTGGAGTAGCTCTCCACAACTCTGTTCAGCCCACAGCAGTGATTCCAGAGGCCATGGGGAGTGGCCAGCAACTAGCTGATTGGAGGCAAGTCATGCCCTGCGTTTTTCTCTGGGTGATCTTTAAGGCCAACTCTCTTAGGATTGGAGCACTTGATGATCTGGAGACATTGGGGAGGGAGGGTAGGAAAGAAGTTTATCTCTTATTTGAAATTCCTGAAGTAAATCACCCATCTTTGGCCAGGAGATGGAGTTATAAGAACACTAAGAATAAAGGAAAGTCATAGTACGGTCTAAGATCAGGAATCATTTCTCTGGATTTCAGTACTTTAGATTTCAAGAAACTTTTAAGCACTTAGGAACCATACATTAAGATCCCAAAGCTTTGTAATCCAGGTCCCTAACTTTAAAAATAGAATGCAGCTATATTTGGCTGCTTTAGTTGCTTTTAATACCCATTTTGGGCCTGAGTCCCCAGTGGGTTTTGGATTCACTCCTCTCTGTTTCTGTCTGTTGCCCCAGGAACGCCCATTCTCATGGCAACCAGTATAGCACTATCATGCAGCAGCCATCCCTGCTGACGAACCACGTGACGCTGGCCACTGCCCAGCCCCTGAATGTTGGTGTCGCCCATGTTGTCAGACAGCAACAATCTAGTTCTCTCCCTTCAAAGAAGAATAAGCAGTCTGCTGCAGTCTCATCTAAGTAAGTCTTTGTTAGAGCTGATGGTTAAAAGTATGCCGGTCTGAGAGAGCTGCTGCCTGGCATTTAGAATGTTGTGGTATAGATACTTCTGGTATAAAGCAGCAGCCAATCCCACTGTCATCAAGTCAATTTCAAATCATGTTCTTGTTATGTGCCGTCGAGTCAGTTCCAACTCATAGCAACCCTGGATAGGGTTTCCAGGGAGCAGCTGGTGAGCTTGAACTGCTGACATTGTAGTTCAAGCTGACCTTGCAGTCCAGTGCATTAATGCACAGTGCCACAGCACGACTCATAGTGACCCTATATAGAATTTCTGAGGCTGTAAATCTTTAAGGGAGCAGAAGGCCCCATCTTTTTCCGTGAACTGCCAACCTTGCCATTAGTAATCCAGGGCTTATCCTACAAATTGAGAAAGAGTACCTGCCAAATTGAGGAAGAGCTGACTTTTCCTTCTGTTCACCCAAACAGCTGTGTCCTGGTTATAACCATTGTAACTCTCTGCTACCACTTGGAATCCAGGCATTCTTTATGCTGATGTTTTTATTTCTCTGCCCACTTTACATAGTGAAACTTGACTGAGTTAGTTAAAGAGCATTCAAAAATAAAATTCCATTTGCATTCTGCTGCTCTTGTGCCTGGAAACCCTGGCCAGAGTGCTTAGTTTCTTTTTCACTGGAATTTATATAGTTAAGTGCATCAGCTTAATGGCGAGTAAAAAGGGAATCAAAGAACAAATGAAAAGCGCTCTAGGGAAGGGAAGTACACTTTTAAGGGCAAGAATTGAGCAGTATTTCCTTGTGACCCTTTCCTGCAGGTCCTCTCTGGACGTTTTACCTTCTCAAGTCTATTCTCTGGTTGGAAGCAGTCCCCTTCGTACCACGTCTTCTTATAATTCCCTAGTCCCTGTGCAAGATCAGCATCAGCCCATCATCATTCCAGACACTCCCAGCCCTCCTGTGAGTGTCATCACTATCCGCAGTGACACTGATGAAGAAGAGGACAACAAGTTCAAGCCCAATAGGTAAGACAGGTGCAATGGTTCCCTAGCTTTGCAATGTGGACCCATTTAGACGGTTGGCTTTAGGCAAGTGGCCCAGCTTGGGCTATGAAAGAAAGAATTAAAAACAGATATTTTGGTTTTGTGTGAGTTTCTTAAAGGATTATATAGTTGTGGTTTCTTTTAAAAATTAAAAATAATAGTATTTATGTTCATCAATTAAGTCAGTTTGCAGATGTATTAGAGAACAGATTTATATTAAGTAGACAGGCTACTCTGGCTTGTCTATATTACAAAAAAAGGTCCTGCCTTCAAGGATTGTCATAATCTGAAAACAGATACCATAGTTAATTGGAATGAGTAGGTGAATAAGAGATTACTTGAAACTCATGAGTTCCAGAATGCAATTGCTTAATCTGAAAGGGCCTCTGGAAGAGATGAAACATAAGGAGGTCTACTCCTATACACATACACCCCAGCACCTGCTATATGACCTAAAATGCTTAACTAACAAAGTACCAGATTATATTCTCTTACCCCATCTTTTAGTCCAAGTCTGTAAGTGGGCAGTTGGCTAAGAGAGTGATATGCTTAAAACCTGTGCCTCACTCACACCTCTCTCTCAAAGTGTGAGCACAGTCAGTTCTCTTGATGTGTGCAGTTACCTTCATTGGACTTGTGCTGTTAGCGCACAGAGGAGGAAATGGCCCTGCTTTTCATTGAAGGATCTAAAATTCACACGTGAAAGCAATTTAAGAGACCTTTGTTGTTGTTAAGTGCCATCGAGACAGACAGAGTCGTAGATAAATAAAGTTTAAATGAACTTGAAATAACAAAATTAGAATAGAGCGTTTCATATTTGTAAAATGATCGACTTGAAACTAAATTTGAAAAGTGGCCATGGGACTGATTGGGGAAGAGAGAAATAGTGAACCTTTCAGTGAGGAAAAATGACCTGCTGTTGTTAAGTACTGTTGAATTAGTTCTGAGTCATAGCTACCCTATATAGGGTCTCCGAGGAGTGACTGGCGAGTTTGAGAGATGTCTGAATTGATGCAGTAAGGAACTGTTTATATTCTAGAGGGGTGATCTGCAAAAAGCAATCTCAGAAGAATATCTTTAAAATAGTCGTACATGGGAAACTTCAAGAATGTAAACAGTGTGGCTGAATAGTGTATGTAGAAACTGTTGTGTTGGTATATACTTTGCTGCGTATGTTCCCAACAACAACAAAAACAAAATCGTTTGAAAGATAATACTAATGGTACTTGGGAATGGCCAAGAGGCAGCATGGGGTGTAGTTGCTAGAGGTGTGGACTCGAGTCATCTGTCCTGGGTCTAAATCTTCTCTATAGCATTTATCCATGTGGGACCTTGGACAAGTTGCTTAACCTTGTATGCCCCAATTGCCTCCTCTCCAAAATGGGCATAATTGAACCTACGTCATAGGATTGTTGTGAGGACTCTGAGACGTAGGTGGAGTGTAAGAAAAATGGCTGATACGTAACAAGCACTCAGAATTGTGCTGCTCCTATTATTACAGCTTCTGTCATTGCCATCATTGTATCCTGGGAGGTTTGGAGGCTCAGCTACATTGCTGAAAGGGCAGTAGAACTTTCATGTGTTCTCTTCTCCTCAGCTCTGGCCTGAAGCCAAGGTCCAACGTCATCAGTTACGTCACGGTTAATGATTCTCCAGACTCCGACTCTTCCTTGAGCAGCCCGTATTCCACTGATACCATGAGTGCTCTCCGGGCCAATAGCGGCCCTCTTCTGGAGGGGCCTGGCAGAGTCGTGGCAGATGGCACTGGTACCCGCACCATCATTGTGCCTCCACTGAAAACTCAGCTTGGTGACTGCACTGTAGCAACCCAGGCCTCAGGTGAGTTTAACGTCATAGCTAGAACTCAACTCTTTATGTGCTTTATCTGCTGTAAGTGACTCGGAATTACTTACATACCAGTGATGTAGAGACTAGCAGCGCAGATATTCTTAACAAATGCTTAGTTCAGACATCGGTTCTGTGTAGTTGGAAACTAGTTTTGGCTATCAGTTTATCTTGTTTCATTTTGTTTATATCATGTTAAAATGAGTTTGTCATTTTAGAAACACATTCACAGTTGATAAGAAAAGTTGAAGCGGACATATGTGGCAGGGAGGATTAGCAGGCAGTTAGATTTGTCACAAATCAAATTCTGTGACAATACAGAAGTTGGACAGGAATTGATCACAGTAAAAATAACTGCAAATGTTTTCTGGCATATACTGTGTCCTTTAGATCTTTTCTCACTAAATGTCGTAGCTCTGGTGTCTTCATTGGTTTTATTACAACTTGATTATGTCCTTCAATTTGCCCTGGTAGATGCTAGCCTTATGGTCCCTAGTCCAGTGACTGTATTGTTGGGTAGTGCTAGTTACAATAATAGAAGAGTGCTTTTCACTCACATAACTTCCCAATAGAAATGTTTGTTGGTGGTAGACCTGCAGTGAGTTAAGGACCAGTGTGGTTTAGTCATCCCCAAAAGCCTTGGAATCTGCTGCATCTAGTCAGTGCGCAGTGGTGCTCCACACCAAGGAAAAGGAGCATTTTTAGTGTTGCGAGTTTCCATCTGTGCCATACTTGCGGTATGATTTCCTATATGGATTATGTTAGTGCTTTAGACACAAACAGCATTCTAATTTGAAAGTGTATTGTCAGGCTGTTAACTGACAGGTTGAAGGTTTGCATTCACCCAGAGGCCACTTGGAAGAAAAGTCTGGTTGTCTACTTCCAAAAACTGAGCAATTGAAACACTGTATGGAGCAGAGTTTTATTTTGACACATGTGGGATTGCCATGAGTCAGCGCAAGATTGATGGAAACTGGTTTTGTTTTACGATTCAGTGTGGCTCTCTTCAGAAGTAGACAACTGTCCTGTTTCAGACAAGGCAAAAGTTCCTGACAGAATTATTGGGAGCTCTGTCCACAGTTGGTTCCAAAGTATATGGACTACCCTGTTGTTGTTAAGTGCAGTTGAGTCAGTTGTGACCCATAGTGACCCTGTATAGGGTTTCTGAGGAGCAGGTGGTGAGCTTGAACCACTGACCTTGCAGTTCAAACAGCTTTGTAGTCTGGCGCATTAATCCACAGCACCACACCAGTACTCTACAACTCACTTAATATATACTTTCGTTTTTTGGGTTTTTGTGTGTATGTGTGTAAGAGAGAGGGAATACAGATAAAAGAAGAAATTTTTTGAAAATTTATCTTAACTTTGCATTCAGCTATTCTTCAGTTTCTTAGAATATGAAGACAGCAAATGCCCAACCAGATATAACCTTGCCTTAAACCCTTTGACACTTCAGTATCTCGAAATTTACCAACCTTTTACTCACTTGCATGTTGCCTTTTCTGTACTGATTTTAACCCTTCCCATATAGGACCTGTAAATACCAGGTCCCTTGTGGCCAGGGACTGTATCTTATTTTTGCTTGCATTTCCAGTATTTCCTTACACATAGCAAGGAGACTAGATAGTATTTTCTGAGGTGTACTTTTGAAGTTCCTGTGTGGAGCTTTGTGGTACGATAGGAAAGAAATGGATAATACACAGTCTTTTCTGCTGGTGTGAAAGTAAATGAGGAAATTAAGATGCACAGGAGACCTCAACTCTTGAAAACCACATACAAATATGCAATGATTAATGATGCCACCTGAAGTTTGGCTCAGTGATGCTGAACAGATACTTCCTCATGACTGAGTCCTGACCCTTTACTAGGTCTCCTGAGCAGTAAGACCAAGCCAGTGGCCTCAGTGAGTGGGCAGTCGTCTGGATGCTGCGTCACCCCCACAGGGTATCGAGCTCCACGCGGGGGGACCAGTGCAGCGCAGCCACTCAACCTTAGCCAGGTAAGCGCTAGGGGCTGCTGCCTTCTGTTGGGGCCCCTCTCTATTGTTCCTCTCTGGAGAACCCCCATCCTGGCTGAACTGCTGAATAAAGTCAAGTGGAGCCCCTTTCGTGTGAAACCATTTGGTGTTGTGTGGCCTGCGTCGTGTGTGCTGGCTCAGCATCCCTTCTTGAGTGTGTTGGGATGATGTGTACTGAACTCCAGGTTTTCCACTCTCTTGGAAGAGAAATGTCTGAAATTTAGAAAGAGCTAAGGATACTTTAGTCATTGCCTGGTTCTACAATATCACATGCTTTGCCACGTTGACACTGGCTTCTCTTCCTTTATCTCCCAGGCCATAAATAGCCTGAGCCTCCCTCTGTTTATTGGAGTCAAGAGACAGTGAAAAACTTTCAGGCCACTTAATCACCTGGGTCGAGTATTGCCGTTTAGTGCTGTTGAGTCCATTTCGACTCTTAGTGACCCTGTGCAGGAGTTCTGAGGGGCGGCTGGTGGATTTGAACCGCCGACCTTGCATTCAAACCGATCTTGTGGTCCAATGCTTATCCTACAGCACCACACCAGGACTCCACTACTTGTTGCTAAAGGCTGAGATTTGCGAATTTCCCTATTTTATCCTGTAATGCGTGGGGAGGAAGGGTTACTTCCTTCTATTTGTATTCATTCTTTCTTTCTTCAACTAAAATTCTGGTGGTTGTTATGATGACTGCCAGTAATGTGAACGTGTAAATACCAGGTTGTAACTCTGGGTTTGTGTATGTGTGTGTGAAAGAGAGCCAGAGTGTGTGAATGTGCATACATGCAGGTACATGTAAGCTTGAGTTAGTGCATGTGTTTTAGGCTCCACATTTCAAGCGAAATACGAAGAACTGAGAGGAGACCAAAAGAAACCTATGGCAGGAAAGAAAGGTTAGGAAAAATTCAAATTCATTGATGCCAAATAGGGTGAGTTGAGTCAACAGTTATTAACTTACAGGACTGGGTAGCTTACCGTGCTCTTGATTCCCCCTTGCCCTGTCATATTTAAGAGCAAGCTGCTACTAGCTGTGTTAGGATCTACCCTGGCAGCATTACCAGCCTGGGAGATTCTGTGCTGTGGCAGTCCAGACACAGTCCAAGTCAGAAACTCAACTCTCAAGTCTATCGCTGATGCCCTAAATCACAGTGACCTCAAGATTCCTCATGCCCTTCTTCCTCCTTCCAGAATCAGCAGTCATCGACCGCTCCAACCTCGCAAGAGAGAAGCAGCAACCCTGCCCCCCGCAGGCAGCAGGCATTTGTGGCCCCGCTGTCCCAAGCCCCCTACGCCTTCCAGCATGGCAGCCCACTACACTCGACGGGGCACCCACACTTGGCCCCAGCCCCTGCTCACCTGCCAAGCCAGCCTCACCTGTATACGTATGCTGCTCCTACCTCTGCAGCTGCATTGGGCTCCACCAGCTCCATTGCTCATCTTTTCTCTCCCCAAGGCTCCTCAAGACATGCTGCAGCCTACACCACCCACCCTAGCACTCTGGTCCACCAGGGCCCTGTCAGCGTTGGGCCCAGCCTCCTCACTTCTGCCAGCGTGGCTCCCGCTCAGTACCAACACCAGTTTGCCACCCAGTCCTACATTGGGTCTTCCCGAGGCTCAACAATTTACACTGGATACCCTCTGAGTCCTACAAAGATCAGCCAGTATTCCTACTTGTAGTTGGTGAGCTTGTGAGAGGAGGGGCCGTGGCTGCCTGGCCCTGGCCCTACGTTAATGGACTCTGGTGAGCTCCTCTCTTACCCTCTTCAAACTCCTTAGCCAGCAATTTGTTGTGCAGGGGCCCACTGAAGCAGCAGCTTTTTCTCTGGGAAACCTGTCTCAGTGTTGACTGCATTGTTGTAGTCTCCCGAGTCTGCCCTGTTTTTTAATTATTTTTGTGACAGCATTTTTGGTATAGGGAAGCATTCAGATGCCCTTCTGCATAATCGCCAAGGGAGAGAGACCGTTCTGAAGTTACCCTTTAAAGAATCTTTTGTGTCTCTGACTTGATGTCTATAAATGCTTTTTAAAACAAATGAAGTCCCTCTTCATTTAACTTTGTTTTATTGCAATTGCTGGGCAGAGGAAAGATCCTGATATGATAAAAGGATTTGAAATACAATAAGTGAGAAAAGAAAAACCAATTACTTTTTGTTTTTTTGGTTTGGTTGAAAACCAGACCTATTTGCCTATTTTATTTTCAAAGCAACAGGCACACGTCTGTATTTGCTATCAGGCATTTTTCTTAGAAATTTGATGGGGAGAGGAGTCATCTTGGTTTATAGGACATTTCAACTTAGAGTGTTTTTGTGTCCCTATTATATTTAATGGGCAGTTGTTTCTTGCAAACTGGCCTCCTGTTTGGGTTACTGTTGGGATTCTCGCACTGGCTTGTGTGTTAGGATCTCTTGTCAAGGCAGCTCACCATTTGCAGGCAACTTCGTGTTAGAGGGTCTGTATGGTGAAAGCACCATTCATTTTAAAATTGTTTTTTTTTTTAAACCCTACTCTCCCTAATTCAGCTTAAATTTTATTATTAGCAAAACCAGTAAGTGAAGGTGGTTGTTATCTGGTGGAGGTGGTTTTATTATATGCCATGTCTTTTTCTATTATGAAGTAATTGGCATTGATGAGCTTTGCCTAAAAGGTTGTAGGCATGGGTGAGCTTTGCCTAAAGACGAGGATGAGTTTTCAATAATACTCTTCCCTCTCTTTGCCTCATCTCTCCATTCTGTTGTATGTAATTGATTTGGGAGAGAAAGCTCCTAGAATCTGGAACCAGATAAGAACATTGTTGTGTTGAGCTTTTTATACTTTAAAGTAGCTTCCTTTGTATGCCAGCAGCAAGCTGAATGCTCTCTTATTATGACTTATACAATAAGTGCATGTAGGAATTGAAAAAAAAAATATTTTAAAGATTTATTACTGAATTTAAAAATATTTTAGAAGTTTTGTAATGGTGGTGTTTTAATATTTTGCATAATTAAATATGTACATATTGATTAGAAAACTATAACAAGCAATTTTTTCCTGCTAACCCCAAATGTTATTTGTAATCAAACTGTGTAGTGATTACACTTGAATTGTGTACTTCGTGTGTATCTGATCCTCCAGTGTTACCCCGGAGATGGAATTATGTCTCCATTGTATTTAAACCAAAATGAACTGATACTTGTTGGAATGTATGTGAACTAATTGCAGTTCTGTTAGAGCATATTACTGTAGTGCTGACTGCGCAGGGGCATTGCCTGCAAGGAGAGGAGACCCTTGGAATTGTTTTGCACAGGTGTGTCTGGTGAGGAGTTGTTCAGTGTGTGTCTCTTTCTTCCCTTTCTCCCTCCTTCCCTTCTTGTAGTGCCTTATATGATAATGTAGTGGTTAATAGAGTTTACAGTGAGCTTGCCTTAGGATGGACCAGCAAGCCCCCGTGGACCCTAAGCTGTTCACTGGGATTTCTGTCAGAACAAGATTAGTAGCTGTGTTGTGTAAAATGCGTTCTTCTCAGATTCCCTGCCGACACTGAAAAGTGAAAACCGCAGCTTCTCTCCCTGACTGCCGCCTCGACCCCATTTCCACATTGGAGCCTCAGCTGAGCTCTTACAGAAGCGTTTTCCCCATCTGGCTGTCTCACTGAGGGAAGCTGGTGAGCAGACTCCAGCCAATATTAAACACACCGTTTTCTTCAAGAATGCGCAATCACATTTAGAATGACTTGTTTCTCCCCCTCTCTTTTTCCCTTGTGGCAGTCCTTCCTGCAAATAGTTGACATTCCTAGTAAAATATTATTGTTGAGAAACATATAGCAGATGTGTTTATACCAAAGAGCCTATTGTATTGCTTACCGTGTCCCCATACCATGAGGAGGAGTTTTGTGATGCCGCTGGTAACAGGGAACTCACAGAAAGGTTTCTTAGTGGGTGAAGAATATTAAGAAGAGACCAAAGCCTGTTGAGTCACTGGGGCTTTTGAGGTCTCTTTTTTACCAACGTGTAGGTTCTTGGGGCCCTTCAAGCTGTGAAATTGTCCTTGTACTCTCAGCTCCATGGGTCTGGGTCAAGTAGAGGGTACAGCGGGGAGTAAACATTCCTGCCAAAGAAGGATTTGGGGGAAGAAGGTTAACCCTAAGATAGAGATGTGTTCCATCCGAGTTGAAGATGATCTATTTGGGGGATAATTCCAGGACTGGTTCTGTGTAGAGATGGTGTCAAGGAGGTGCAGGGTGGAGATGGGAGATTTCATGGAGCCCGGTCAGCAGGCTCTGCCCGGGTCAAACACTGAGGAGCTGTCAAGGTATATGGAGTTTCTTCATTGTAAGGAGTCAGGGCTTCCAAGATGGGACAGGTACTCAGTACAGCCTACCAGGAACATGTCGGTGTTTTCTGTATTTTTTAGTCATTATATTTTAGTTGCATTTTCAGCACTATATTTGTCAAGAGAGCCAAGCAGTTTGTATAGTTTCTTGTCACGCTAGTGTTACACAGTTTCTGGACAATGTATGATCTTTTATGTCTCCTTATGGCCAACACATTCTGATTTTCTTGCTCAAACGCAGTTCTAGTTTCTAATGGAAACATTTTTGTTCCTTATCTTCCCTCTATAAGGGACAAGATTTGTTGTTTTTGTAAGAAATGAGATGCATGGAAAACAAAACAAAATACCCTACCCCCTGCGCCCCAGTCCAATAAGTAGATGACCATTTTTAAGAAAGGAGTCTTAGCTCAATGGGAAAGACGAAACCAAGAGTTTGTATTGTTACCTTAATCACATTACTAGCAGTGTGTGTGTGGCTTTAAGAAGTTTAGAGATTTTTGGTCTTAGTCTACGAATTGGCGTTTTAGATTTACCAAGCTGAAGGCTTGCTTACCTGTGTCTGCTGAATGTGTATGTGTTCAATGTGACTTTAGATTCTGACCCTGGGACTTAACATTGCCAACCCTGTCCAGATGAGTAAAGCTCCATGAACTTAGTGAGTAGCTGGCCCAGGTCACAGTGACCTGACCTCACCCCAACCTAAGGGGGTCTGAGGCTGTAAGTCCTCTCTGAGAACTTGCATTGACAGATTCTCTCTTCATCAAAAGAGAGGAAGTAGGAAAGGGTTAATATAGCTCATGGGGCACATCATCTCTCCAGGGTTTTTAATAACTCCCAGGAGGTGAAACCACTGGGGCTGAAATACTGGTCCCAGGAAGAACTCGATTTCAAACAGTTCTGGCGGTTCTGAGCCTGCTCATCCTATCTTCCTCTCCTAGAGGGCCTGTTTGGCTGCTATGGCCAGGTAAGCACAGTAATGTGTTTTGTTCAGCATTATTATGCAAAAATCCACTGGTTGGGATGGTTTGCTTTAGGTTAGGAAATGAAATTGCCTCTCAGTGACAGGAATGGCCCAAGCCTGCTTCCTATTTTGATTTGTTTCTTTTTTTTGTTTTTAAAGAAAAAAAACTGATGGGTGGTGCAGCATGTCTCCATGGTTGTTTGTTGCTAAACTTTATATAATGTGTGGTTTCAATTCAGCTTGAAAAATAATCTCACTACATGTAGCAGTACATTATATGTACATTATATGTAATGTTAGTATTTCTGCTTTGAATCCTTGATATTGCAATGGAATTCCTACTTTACTAAATGTATTTGATATGCTAGTTATTGTGTGCGATTTAAACTTTTTTTGCTTTTCCCTTTTCTGGTTGTATGCTTTTACAACAAGCCTCTAGAAACAGATCGTTTCTGAGAATTACTGAGCTATGTTTGTAATGCAGATGTACTTAGGGAGTATGTAAAATAATCATTTTAACAAAAGAAATAGATATTTAAAGTTTAATACTAACTCTATGGGAAAAGGGTCCATTGTGTAAAACATAGTTTATCTTTGGATTCAATGTTTGTCTTTGGTTTTACAAAGTAGCTTGTATTTTCAGTATTTTCTACATAATATGGTAAAATGTAGAGCAATTGCAATGCATCAATAAAATGGGTAAATTTTCTGATTCACATGACTGTTTTTGGCTTGTGTCATAGGGGGTCAAAGAGAATCGACAAATGGTACCTTTGTATCTGAACATCAGTAGAGTGTTAAAGACAAATTCATTCTTCAGGCAAATCTCCACAAAGGAAATAAACAAGGGTTGGTAGGGGACGCTTCCCAAGTATGGAGTGTCAGTGACCTTAGAAAGAAGCAGAAGACGTCTGAGCAGAGGTTCCTTAGATTTTGTTTCCTGGTATGTTTCCCCAAACATCTAAAGTTGCAGGATGAAACTAAAAATCACAACTAGAAGATGCTCCTTTCAGGCTGTACTGTGAGACCTATGGTCCTTAGAGAAGCAGCAGTGCTGATCAGATTTCTCTTGATTCTAAAGTGAATAAAATTTCTTCCGAGAGGTTTCTGTATAAAAATGTGATGATTGTTTGACTTCTTTTGACCCATGTGTTTCAGGCTAAGTCTACCTTACCAGGGTCCATTCATTCATTTTGGACTCCTGACTTTTAGTTAGGATGTAGAAACAAGAAACACCCTATTGGACCTTAACCATGAGAAAGTGTCAATAGTCTGATTGGGTTCTCCCAGTGGTAGAGAGGTCAGAATATATTTATTTTGATTTAGAATGCAACACACACGTATTTGAGGTGCTTCTTCCTGAATAAAATGAATGTAAAATTAGTGTGAACTTGCTGAATATGTTATCAGTTTTGGTAAGCGAACAGACCTGGAAGCTTGCAGGCAAAGGAAAGCCTTTGTGTATACTGGCTTTACGTCAATCTCACTTCCAGACAGCCAAGAGTTAGTTATACAGTTTCTTGGTCATCTGTTTTTTTATTGCTGTTTTTTTTTTTTTTTAATCTCAGTTATATTCGCCTACAACATTAGATAGCCCCCTAAAGTAAATGGATAGTTTGTGTTTCAGTCAGTGAACAAATCTGCTTCAGTCAGTTGACAGGTTCAGAATTGACTTGATCTGCTTTGTGGAAGTATTTCCACATAGGTTGAAATCTAAGCGTTTCCCTATTAATCAAGTGATGATACCAGGTGCTTAGCACAAGATGGCGCTAATGAGCTACAGAAACCGTTAGAACAAAGTTGACCACTATGGTTTTTTTCCCCTAAGCTTCTACTGAACAAGGGGAAAAACCCCATCCCTTCTATTATTGCCAGCAAAGGAAGGATTAATGTAGGATGCCAGTTTCTTGAGAAGTCAGCACTGAAAATTGCTGAGTTTTCTTTGGCCCTTATTTGCCTCTGTCTCCTATAGCTACCTCCTTCTCCTGGGCCTCTGCCTTAGGGTTTCCCATCTCCCCTCTCCTGGGAAGCCGACAGCCGAGGCGGGAGGTGGTTAAGCCTTCTGGTTCCTCTGCAGTGGGGCCATCTGTATTTGATCAATCCTAGCAGAAAGGAGGGGAGTGGGGGCTTTAAAGAGAATGTGAAAGCATTCCAGAGTAGTGAGAGAGACCCAGAGATCCAGAAAGAGAGAAGGCACCGCCCCCTACCCCGCCTCCAGAGCTAACCCGCAGGCTCAAGAGGAAAAGACGACTGCCCTCTGCTCTGGCCCCACTCTCCCGGCTGCCATGGGGCCCAGCACTCCTTTCCTCGTCTTGCTGCTTCTGTCGTGGTCAGGACCCTTTCAAGGACAGCAGCACCACCTTGTGGAGTACATGGAACGTCGACTAGCTGCCTTAGAGGTGAGGGACTCTTTTCTAGTCCAGCCTGGAAGGATTTTACATCTCCTGTGGGTTTTCCCTGTTTGTCAGGGATCTGGGGATAACACCACAGGGCTCTATAAGAATCTACACAGAAGGCCATCTTTTAATAAGAAGATCCTGAAAAGTACAAGCAAGCCCTCCTTTTCCCCACACAGAGCAATTCCAAAGCAAATATACCTTTGTGTTTTATACTTGGGATTGTATGAGATAAGGAAACAGAGCTAGGATTGTGGGAGGCATCAACGTAGAGCTGATAATTCTGTTGCAATTGGGAGGCCCCAGAGAATTTGCAACTTCCCGCCTTTTAAAGTTTGAGTCTTGTAGCATCTTAATTCCCAAGAGGAGGATTGTGAGATGGAGCAAAGACCCTCTTTTCCTCTTGCACTGAGACTACTGTAGAGGCTCAGATGACTCGGTAGCACTGCCCACAGAGAAGGCAGGCAGGAGGACATGGAGTGGGAGATAGGGCCTAGGTGAGTATGAACTGTGCTCTCTGCACATTTAGCATCACTGTACATCTGGTTCCCCTGTCTATGGGGGCTGACAGGGATGTTGAGACATGACCTGAGTTTGTGCTCCTTTTCTCATTTCTGGCTTCCCTAGTCAGGCCTCTTCCTGCCTGGGAATTGTACCCTGACAGCCCTCCCTCCCATTCCCCCATCCCTTTAGGAACGGCTGGCCCAGTGCCAGGACCAGAACAGTCGCCATGCAGCTGAACTGCGGGACTTCAAGAACAAGATGCTGCCGCTGCTAGAGATCGCTGAGAAGGAGCGAGAGGCGCTCCGAACTGAGGCTGACTCCATCGCAGGGAGAGTTGATCGTCTAGAACGGGAGGTTGACTATCTGGAGACTCAGAGCCCTGCTTTACCCTGTGTAGAGGTTGATGAGAAGGTGACCGGAGGTCCTGGGACCAAAGGCAAGGGCAGAAAAAATGAGAAGTATGATATGCTGACAGGTTAGTGATCTGAAGGCAAGCCCTAACGTTTTCAGAACCTGTATTCTCCCTTTTGTCTCCTCGTCTCAGTCCACGTGGTTCTATTTTCTGGAGTCTGGTTTGCTGAGAACTCTGTAGTGACAGGCCCATGAGAGGAGAATTTCTGGGGGCTCAGGCCTCCGTGGTCACCTGTCTTTCTTTCCCAGTCCTCCAAAAGTTCACCCTGAATTAAACATCTAATTCTCACCTGTCTTTCCTTTTCCCATGCTTTTTTTCTTCTTTCCCACCAGACTGTAGCTACACAATCTCTCAGGTGAAATCAGTGAAGATCCTGAAGCGCTACGGTGGCTCAGCTGGTCTGTGGACCAAAGATCCATTGGGGCCAGCAGAGAAGATCTACGTGTTAGATGGGACACAGAATGACACGGCCTTTGTCTTCCCGAGGCTGCGTGACTTCTCCCTTTCCATGGCTGCCCGGAAAGCCTCCCGAGTCCGGGTGCCCTTCCCCTGGGTAGGCACTGGGCAGCTGGTCTATGGTGGCTTCCTCTACTATGCACGGAGGCCTCCTGGTGGACCCGGAGGGGGTGGTGAGTTGGAGAGCACTCTGCAGCTCATCAAATTCCACCTGGCAAACCGAACAGTGGTGGACAGTTCTGTGTTCCCAGCAGAAGGGCTGATCCCCCCGTACGGGCTGACAGCAGACACTTACATTGACTTGGCAGCTGATGAGGAGGGCCTATGGGCTATCTATGCCACCCAGGAGGATGATAGGCACTTGTGTCTGGCCAAGCTAGACCCCCAGACACTGGACACAGAGCAGCAGTGGGACACGCCATGCCCCAGGGAAAATGCCGAGGCTGCTTTTGTCATCTGTGGAACCCTGTATGTCGTCTATAACACCCGCCCTGCCAGTCGGGCCCGCATCCAGTGCTCCTTTGATGCCAGTGGCACCCTGAGCCCTGAACGAGCAGCACTACCTTATTTCCCCCGCAGATACGGTGCCCATGCCAGCCTCCGCTATAACCCCCGAGAGCGCCAACTCTATGCCTGGGATGATGGCTACCAGATTGTCTACAAACTGGAGATGAGGAAGAAAGAGGAGGAAGTTTGAGGAGCTAGCTTTGTTTTGTGAATCTCTCTCACTCTTGTACATTTATTGTTGTTGGGTGCTGTCATGTCCCACCAAGTTTCTGCTCATTCTCCAAACGTGGGCAAGGTGTGGTAGATCCCCTATTTTTGACCAACAGAAGCAAAATTCTCAAAGCCCTTTAGTTCCATCTGGAACTCTATATCTGAGCAATTCTCCTAGCACTGAAAGAGTGGCAATCCCAAGTGGTTCTCTTCCACTCTCCTGTCCCACCTCAACAAGTCTCAACCCTGTTGAAGACAAGCCAGAGCTGGAGAGTTCTGACCCCTCCGATGGAGACAACCCCATGGAGCAGAGAACAGAATATTTCTTACCTTCAGTGTGAGTCGGGAAGAGGGGAATAGGAGAAGACAACTTTCAACTCTACCCACTCTCCCTCACTTGTCTTCCGTGCTTTGAGGAATGGGGTTTCCACTGCCATCATTGTGTCTTGCAGGATTTTGTATTAAAAAGAAAACCCACTGCACCTCTCCTGTGTTTGTTTGGGGTAACCCTCAGATCAGATTCCTTCCCATGACCCTCCATTTTCCTCCTTCCAGCCTGTTCCCACTCCTTTAGCCACATAGAAGACTTGGCTGGCCCCCCTTCGCTGAGGGAGGAGGGCCTTCTCTGGTTACAGATTGTTCTGTGAGGCGCCTGGGGAAGCAGTAGAATCCCGCCACTTCTGGAGCCTGGCAAAGGTCTCCCTCCACACCCACTGCCATCCATAGCAGCCTTCCCAGAACACTGGTGGCACCATGCCTCTGGCCATGACAGATTGGGGCCCAGATGCAGAGCATCCAACTCCAGTTCTCAGAGGATTTTGAATCAGAAAATGAACTTTAAATAGAAACCAGAGCCCAGAGTGTGTGTTTTTTAGTAAGAACTTTAAGTCTCACCTCTGAAGTGGACTGCCGCCTGCCTGCTCCAAACCCCCACTACCATCTCCTGCAGTGGGCTCTTCCCCAGGCTGGGTTGCACAATTGTTCTTGGTCTGAACCTCTCCGAATTTCCTGCTGCCACAGCGTCTGCGGTTTGGCTGGGAAGGAGAGACAGTGACCATGTCCCAGATGTTGGTTTTACCAGTTCCCCAACTTTCCTGTTTTCCATCCTCATCACTGCCACCCACCCACCCTCATCCCAAACCTGGCTGAAGTCTGTCCATTAGTCTAGGAAAAGTAACCCTTTCTGGCCTCTTGCTTTGGGTTGTAGAAGGCAGTGTGGAGAAGAGAGGAGGGGAAAGAGGGAAGAAAGCACGGAGATTCTGCTTTTTGGGAAGTTTACCTTAGGCAGCCCTGGGAGTAGTCCTCTTGGGTTTTTTTTTTTTTTCCCCTTTCCTAATTGGGGGAGGAGGGAAATAGGAACTCAGTCTGCGCCCAACGTACAGCCCTCCTCCCTGGCCCAGGGTAGGGTGGATCAGTCAGGGGCCCCCTGTGCCTCCTTTTGTCTTCTTTTCTTCTTCCCTCAGGCAGAGCTGCTCCTGACATAGGTTGGTGTGGAAGGGGAAAAGAAAGGCAACAAAGCACCTCACAAAAGGCGCTATTGTGGGGAGCCTCAGGATGGTGGGGGCTCTCTCCCATTCAATTCTCTCCTAATGTGTGGCTGGCAACTCTAATCACCGCCTGTCAGCCCATAGAGGGGTCTGCCCACGGAACATCTGGCTCCATCTCAGGGCGCACAGGGAGGAGGGTAGAGGAGGGAGTTCTCAGTGGAGGCCTGGAGAAGAGGGGTCCAGGCTGGGAGGTGGGTGGCAGCATGGTGCTGTGACTCTGTGTGGGTGTGCGTGTGCATGTGGGTGAGGGGTGCTTGTCTGCTTCCTAGTGTGACTGTGTGTCTGTGTCTGGTTGTAAGTTACCAGCGGGTGGAGCCATGTCTGGAATTATCCTGACATAGCACCAAACATTGGGAACAGCTTTCTGATGACCTGCAGAGAGAATGGCTCTGAGCTTCCTTCTGTGTGGAAAGGACATCACTGTGAGCAGTCAGTATCAGTACAGCTTTAAAGTTTTGTCAATTGCATGAAAACTGGGTCCTTGCACCTGAGCTCCATGTGCATGCTTTGTCACTGTGGCATCTTTCTTTGCCTGAGTCTTCAGTTCTACAACCCAAAACCAGAGGCTAGAAAGAAAGAAGCAAATCTTTTTCTTTTTTGGCTTAAAGTTTCTCTGGAAAAGTTCACTCAGACTTCTGAAAGGGCAGAAATCTCTGGGGCCTTGTCATTTATTACTTTGAGCTTTTCTCTTTTCGGCTCCTCTACAATAGCTACTGCTATTTTGGAAGCATTTATGGAAGGTGAGTGGAACTGTGTGGGCAGATCCAGTGAACTATCCAAATTCATTAAACTAAATTATCTGCTGCTTCAGGAGACTGAACCTCAATAGCTGAATCCTGTCACCTTAAAAAAAAAAACCTCCCCACCTCTTCTTAGGCCCTCTACAGCTCCTCAGTTGACAAACAGTTATGACCTCTGGTTTGAGTTGAACAAAAGGTAGTGGAAGACAGGAGGCACTACTAGGTAGGGTGTGTGGTGGGGGTTTGCTAAGAGCACAAAGAAGTTCCACATCTACCTTCATTGTGGGGCTGCCGAGGCACATGTAGGGTGTGTGGTGGTGGTTTGTTAACAACACAAAGGAAGTTTCACATCTATCTTCAGTGTGGGGCTGCCGAGCCACACTAAGAACCTGGAAAACTGCTGTTGTCAGCCAGGCCATGTGGCCCTGATGTTGCTTCTCTGTTATATGTCAGGGTTAAAAAGGATACCCTCATCTTCACCTTGGCGCCTAAAGTTTCCTACCCTTTCAAGCTCTCTTTGTTCTCAGTTTTGTCCCTCCTGATTTTCATCTTAGACTCTGCCTGTCCAAGAAACCAAAATGTTCTTCTTGTTCATCTGAATCAAGGAATTTGAGCCAATGTTATTAGAGCCCTGGAAAGCAGGGGAGGGGTGGCCAGAGATGTCAAGAATGAAGTTGTTGGTTCAGCTGTCGGCACTTCCTCTGGGGTTGGGCTCTGGGAAAAGCAAGAACCAGAGCTCTCACCTCCTCCTCTTGCACATTCACACTTTCTGGATCCTTCCCTGTCCCTCCTATGGGTGCCCCTCCCTGACAGTCCCCTGCTACCACTCTTTATTTTGAGAATTGCTACTAAACTGCCCTGGTATTTCTTGAAGTCTTCTGGTCTCTTTAGGGTGTGCTGTTCTGCCTTTCTGTGGCTGCATTTGCAACGTATTTCCAGAAAGCAAAAATTCCAACTCATAGTGACCCCATGTATCACAGAGTAGAACTGTGCCCCATAGGGTTTTGAAGACCTTTTGGAACCTCTCTGGTGCAGGAGGGGTTTTCTAATTCCTTTAGTCCTACTGGCTTTAGCTCCTGTCAGCAGCTTCAGCCTCTGCTGGCTCCTCTGCCCCCACAGACCGAAAACAGGGTGCCTCCTCCCCTCCTCCCCCAGCCATCAAGACTGGTAAGCTTTCTTATGCCTGTTCTTAAACTTCGGCTCTCACAGTGCAGAGTTTTAAAGATTAAACCTTTATTTATATATTTAATAGCACCACAGAAGAGTTCTAAATGTGAAAGTCAATGTATTGCTTTAAAGGGCAGAATGAGAAAGTAAACATGAACAACTCTCAGCATTCTCTTACCATTACTTGGTTTCTGGAAGTACCCAGAGTTGGGCACTGTGAGAAATAGCTCTCAGGATTAAGAGGGATCTTGGGGGTAGCAGACTGGCAGAACAAAAGGAGCTCAGAGGAGAGGAAGAGACTAGTTTGACCAGCTAGACTCTTAAAATAAGAATGCACCCATCATGGAAATAGGGGAAGTTCATGGGAAGTTGATCTGTTTACACTGAAATGCAATCCATACCGAAGGCTGTGCTCTTTGATCTTCATCAGTAAATGTTTTAAGTCCTCTTCACTTTCTGCAAGCAAGATTGTATCATCTGCATATCACAGGTTGTTAATGAGTCTTCCCCCAATCCTGATGCCACGTTTTTCTTCATAGAACCCAGCTTCTCAGATTATTTGCTCAGCTAACCTTGTCGCACACCTTTCTTAATTTTAAACTATTCAGTGTTCCCATGTTCTGTTCGAACAACTGCCTCTTGGTCCAGGTACAGATTCCTCATGAGCATAATTAAGTGATCCAGAATACTCATACTTCGCAATGTTGTCCGTAGCTTGTCATGATCCACACAATCGAAAGCCTTCGCGTAGTCAATAAAGCATAGGTAAACATTTTTCTGATATTCTCTGCTTTCAGCCAAGATCCATCGGACATCAGCAATAATATCCCTTGCTCATGGCCTCTTCTGAATCCAGCTTGAACCTCTGGAAGTTCTCTGTCAATGTATGATTGTAGCCGTTTCTGTATTACCTTTAGTAAAACTTTACTTGCAGAGTAAAAGAAATCGATGATTTCTGCATTCTGTTGGGTCACCTCTTTGGAATGGGTACAAATACGGATCTTTTCCAGTCAGTTGGCCAGGTAGTTGTCTTCCAAATTTCTTGGCAGAGATGAATGAGTGCCTCCTGTGCCGCCTCACTTTCTTGAAAGATTTCTATTTTTATTCCATCAATTCTTGGTGCCTTGTTCTTTGCCAATGCACCTTGGACTTCCTCCTTTAGTATCATTGATGCTTGATCATATGCTACCTCTTGAAACGGTTGAACATTAAACCATTTCCTTTTGGTACAGTGACTCTGTGTATTCCTTACATCTTCTCTTGATGCTTTCTGCATCATTCAATAATTTCCCCAGAGAATATTTCAATAATGAAAGTCGAGGCTTGAATTTTTTCTTCAGTTCCACCAGCTTGTGAAATGCTGAGTGTGTTCTTCCTTTTTGGTTTTCTGATTCCAAATCTTTGCACATTTTATTGTAATATTTGGCTTTATCTTCTCGAGCTGATCTTTGAAATATTCTGTTCAGCTCTTGTACCTCCTCATTTCTTCAATTTGCTTTAGCATCTCTACGCTGGAATTTCAGTGTCTCTTCTGACATCCACTTTGACCTTTTCCTTCTTTCTTGTCTTCTT